ACATACTTCAATCAATGCGTTATAGCTGTGGGGATTTGTTGTTTTAAATATTGTTACTTTTGTCCAACGCTGCTTTTAAAAGTTTGAATCTGATTTGTGATACTGATGTGCTCCTGCTTCTCATGCACTGCTGGAGGAAAGAAGTATCCATATTAAATCAGAAGTGGCTTTCACTGCTAATGACCAAAATTGAATTTGAATGGCTACATGCTCAGCCAAGTCAACAGCTGTCAAACATCTAGTATGCATCTGCGGACAGATAAAACTATAAACTCTCTCATGCACATACACCCGCACACATGGTAGTAAAATGGTTTAGTCCAGTGGCTCCTCTAGTACAGGTCAAAGTCATCATGTTGCCACATCAATATGCATGTCATTCTCCACAGCTGGCGGCAAAACACACACACTCAAACACACTGCTTGCTTCATCCCTTAAAACACACGCAGACTGCCATGCGGCCAGTGTGTTAGCGCTGGCCAGCTGACAGACAAACACACTTAAACACAGATCAAGCCGGGAGCTAAAAGACACATAAACACAAATATACCCCCCCTCCGCACACACACACACACACACTCAAAGATTACACAAACTTGCATCCCGCTGCCTCCAGCACCACAGGCCACCACCGCCACATCTGTGCCCATCTCAGACACCTCGGCTGTGGGCAGCGGGGGTGAGAGAGTGCCCTGGGCGGCTGGCATGGGCTGGCATGGCCCTGGCAGTGTATGGTGTGGAAAGGAACAGCAGCCAGCGGATGACAGGAGGGAAGGAGAGGGGAAGGAAGGAATGCAGGAAAAGAGAGGGTAAAATAATGATTGGAAAGATGATAGAAGTTTAAATGATTGCAAAGACAGACACCTAAGGGGGTAAAAAAGAGATGCACATAGAAAAAATGATGAGTCGTTGGGATGATCATCAAAGAATATCAAAGGAAGGGAAACAGTGGGAAAAAAAGATGCAGAAATAGAAAGAGAGAAGATAGGGTCAGAGGGAGGGGAGCCGGTAGTACCCGTTGTGAGAAGGGATGCAGGGCACTGGCAGGTGGCACCGAGGCCAGGCTGTCCAGTGACCATCAGCCGCAGTGTGTGTGTGTGTGTGTGTGTGTGTGTGTGTGTGTGTGTGTGTGTGTGTGTGTGTGTGTGTGTGTGTGTGTGTGTGTGTGTGTGTGTGCAAGGGACAGAAGAAAGGTTTAGGCGCCATTTTGGCTCTGCTGGAGCTGTTTCTGGGCACTGGCCTGGTGGCACGGAGTGGGCAGTGTGTATATACATGCTGTGTGTGTTTGTGTGTGTTGCATTATGCTGTGGCATGCTTAACAGGATTAGAGGTGACCTGGTGAGGTCCAGTTGGTACCGGGACCATGGCACAGAGGAGCGCATGTGTGTTGGTGTGTGTGTGTGTGTGGTTTGTATAATAGGATTAACTGTTACCTGGTGCGCTGCAGTTGGTGTGCTGGTCTGAACTGGACTGGACAGGGCTGAGCTGGGCAGGAGCTGGGCAGAGGGGAGTGCTGTGTGTGTGCGTGTGTGTGTATGTGTGCGTGTGAGTGTGGTGGCATGTATAATAGGATTAGGTACTACCTGGTGAGGTGCAGTTGGCGCTGGGCGTTTGCCAGCTGTTCTGCTAGGCTCAGGGCTTCGGCCTGCCATTGGCTCCCGTCCTTTTGGACCGCCTCCAGGTGCTGCCGACAGCCAACCAGCTCTGAGCTCAGCCTTTCTACTTCCTGTCCCGCAGAGATAGAAAAAAGAGAAGGAAGAGGAGGTGAGGAAATCTTTCACAACAACCACCTTATGTCCTTTGCAAACAAAACATTTTAGGCTAATTACACGCCCAACCTAAATGCATAAGAAATAAATCATTTTGATAATCAAAAATGCAAAAGAGTTTGATTCCAATTGGTCAAACTAAGTTTTGAAATATCAGGGAAATCCATATTTTTTTATGAGACTAGTTCAATCTAACAAACAAAGCGTAACCAGGACTTGCACTATATATATACATTTTTTTTTTGTGTTTTTTCAATCAACCGATGCTTCAAAACCGGATTTTAAGAAATGTTGGATGTGAAAATAAAGTGTTTTTTCTTATATTTGGGGGTGCTTTTTCTAATTAAACTTGAATTACATTTCCTCAAAGAATAACTGATTTCTATTTTTTACCTGAACCTTAAAGCTACTAAAGAAATCGAAGTAATTCATATCCGATAAGCGGGTTGAGTGCAGACGTACCTGTGCAGCTTTCTCCATGTGTCGGCTGGTCTTGGTGTTGAGCTCTCGCAGCTCTCTCTCTGCCTCCCCTTTCTTCAGTTGGGCCTGGCTGAGCTGATATCGCAGATCCACACACACCTACAGACGATACGGACTGATTAGAAATATTACTTGTGCTCATTTTTTCATCATTTGTCTTTTCCTTTTCTTTTTATTATAGACGTATATCCCTATTCTTATGTAGGAAGGTCCTTCATTTGAATCATCAGAATCTTTTTTCAGGCCAAAGCTCACAGCTCTTAATAGAGTATGTTATAAATGTGATGGCTACGAGTTTCACTTGTCTAACTTCCTGTAAGTGCACATACAAGGGAATAAAGATACATTTGCCCCAATGCCCTGTAAGGTGTCCTTGGGTGCTATGAAAGGCGCCCCCCAAATAAAATGTATTATTATTATTATTAGTATTTGTCTATTTATGTTTACTGTTACCATATACCTCGATTTAAATAACTCCACCTTTACTACTGTCATTTGTATTTATTATTCATTGACAATAAATATCAATATTATTTTAGATGTAACACTTAAAATCTGTTTTCTTATTTGTCCTAACAAGAACTACAGTTGGTATGCTTTCTCGAAGACACTTGAACATGTTGAGTATTTGCTGACATGCAATACTTGAACCTGAGTCTTTCAGTAAAAGTAAAATCTCGCTGCCAACTTGGAAGTAGCATGCATACGAGGAAGTCTTTTTAAAATACAACATGTTAAAAACGATCAATCTTCACATTAAGCTTTGTCATTAACCTTATTTTAAGCGTATGTATGTTTTCATATTGAATTTACCTTTCAAGCAGAGAATAAATACTGAAATAGATAAACCTTTGCTGCCATCCAGTGGAATTACGAAAGCATTACAAGTAGAAAGTACAGAAAACATCCACGTATCAGGAATGTTCTTTACCTCTGTTCCTTCAAAAAGGTACATCAAACTTTGTAGGAGCTGGTCTAACAGCAAAAGTCCATGAGCACTAATGATAAGTAACAACACACAGACGTGTTCTTGCAGACAGTGTACCTTGGTATTGTCTTGTTCCTGAGCGGTGAGTTTGCGGAGAGAATCCTCCAGCTGGTTAGTCAGAGAGCTGTTGTCTCTGTGAGCTCTGTCCAGCTGTCCTTGCAACTCGGCAACCTGCTGCGAGAGGCTGGATACCTGACACACACACACACACACACACACAGTTGATTGGCATTTTATTTTTAAAATGTAATAAATAAAATAAAGTATGTAAGAGTTATTGCTTTGTTTACAGCAATTTTAAGAATTTAAAGTGGACCTATCATGCTATTTTTAGGCAATAGCATACAGTGTTTCCCCTAGGATGGAGTCATAGCAGCGGTGCTAAGGCACGCGGGCCCAGCAAATGCTGGGCCCGCGTGCCTTAGCACCGCTGCTATGACTCCATCCTAGGGGAAACACTGTATGCTATTGCCTAAAAATAGCATGATAGGTCCACTTTAAANCTTCATAGACATGTTTTTTATATATCTGAGACCTATGCTATTGCCTAAAAATAGCATGATAGGTCCACTTTAAATTCTTAAAATTGCTGTAAACAAAGCAATAACTCTTA